TTTCCCTTTCTCCCTCAATATATTTAGGCTCAGCAGCCTAACAAGTCACATGTACCTGGAAAAAGCATGTTTTCTAAAGCCACGTGTAGCACCAATTTTTCTACATGGCTGCAGAATTTAATGGGGAAACGTATTTTTCTTTGTGTCAGTCTCTGCTAGTGCTTTGTGTATTTGTCCTGTAAAGTGCTTGATAAACATGAGCCAGGAAAACCACCAGATGGGAGGAGAGAAGAAAATGGGAGGATGTGTGCTTTAGCCTTTGCACTTCAATCATTTTAAATAATTAAAGCTGATGGTCTACCTTTAACAGTCTGGACAGGTTGGGTAAGCATTAGAAACATCCAGTCCTCGATACTGCAGTGATGAGCGTATTGCAAAGATGCAGATATGGGTGTACATGTTTGTGTAGTGGTTTGCTTTTTTTCCCCCCTCCCCTTGCATTTCTATAAAAACAAGTTCACATCTTAGCACCATCGGCCCTTTGGGGGAGAAGCAAGAGTTTACAGTTCAAGAGTTGAAGTGCACAGTTCATTTCATGGGGTCTTTGAAGAACTCAAACTTGTCTTGTTAGGGCTATGTGGCCATTGGATCTTACAGTACTTTTTGCGAGTGGTTGTGAAGGCCTGTCCTTTTGTCCCTGGCATCTTGTTTTAAAGCAATAAAAGCTTAGAAGCCCCGATTTATTTTTCCTTTGAAACCAGTGTGTTACAAATAATGCCATGGGTTTGCCCATTATAAGGTGGTCCAGTGGACAGAGCCCAGGTCTACAGGATGATTTGTGTTCCTGACTCCTATGCATCCTTGTTGCAAACACCTTTAGATCCGTCTGCTAGCACAGGTTGCTGATGCTGGCGAGAAATGTGCTAACGCTAGCGCAAGTAAATAGCCTAATTTAGACTTGGGGCACTTTTTTCACCTTCCTGTGGTGTGACAGTAGGACTAGTGTCATAAGTTTGTGCATCCTGCTCCTTTTTTAAAATGCATTAATATGCAACAAGGGTATCCGGAGGCTGGGGTGGAGGGCTTTCTAAAGTGCATGTCATGCTGGTCAGTGCATCAAACTGGACAGAGAGCCGTTTATCCACTCTCTGGGAGCAGTGTCCACCACCCATGCCAGCGACCTGAATGAACAACTTCTGGAGCCTTGTAAGAACATCTGCCGTCTTCAGGCTGGCCTCTGCTGTGCTGCTCTGCTTTCTCCTTCCTCCCCCACAAGCTGTTTTTATGCTAATCCTGAATACCAATTACATGATCAGGCAGGGTTCAGAATAACAGAGATCAGTCCTTTATGGCTCCTTGGTTATATATGACTCTGCTTTTAATGTTTCTGTGCCTAATGTGTGTAAGAGAGGTTTTGATTCTGCCCTCTTTTCTTCTCCCTTCCCGCCCCATGTGGGCATGCTGAGTGCATGAAGAACTTATCTGCAGGGTAACCTCCATGGCAAGCAGTTTTCTTGCCCTCTGTGCTGTGTGCGATCAGGGTACCCTGGCTCTACCGAGAGCAGCTGTGAGCACATTAGCTGCCCCACCCTCTGGCAAGCAGACGCCAGTGGCAGAATTGGAGAGAGAATCCTTACACTTGAGGTCAGCAAACAAGATGCAGAAGATTCAAGATAAGGAATCAAAACATCCAGAAGAAACAAGTGCACCAAACGGGAGGCAAAAGAAATGCTTCCCGCCCACTCACACAGTAATACATGGTCCTGCCAAGTGTTTTGCTTTTGGGAGGAAATGAAGCTGTTTTGATTAAATCTTATTGAGGACCTGATCCTGCAGTTGGGTGATCCGAGGTAAGCAAAGCTCTACTGTCGCAAGCAGAGGCTGTGGGTAAAGGCAAGCGAGCAGGCGTAGTAAAGGGATCAAGGCATGGGCAGACACCGAACGTTTTGTAGATTGTAGAGCAGGAGGAAAAACAATCATCAGCACCCACAGGCCGTGGCTGTAATGTGGTCCTGCTGTGATTTAGTGTGATTCTGTATGGGGAGGTTTGCTAGCACCCGCATGTTTGATTTAGTGAAAGAGCTAAGGGCCATGAGAAACTCTGGTGTCCTATTCAGCAGCCTCAGAAACAAACACGAGTCTCCAAAACTCACTTGTTCCTTCTTCCCCAGCATGGTGGACTCTGTTCTCCTCTCTGGCCTGGAGCTAGAGGCTCGTCAGTGTGATGCTGAACGCTGCCATGTTCGCCACTTCCAGCTGCGTGCTTCTGCTCTCAGCTCCCCACCCAGGACAGGGCAAGGCCAAGCCTTGTGGGTGTTTTGCCCGTGTTAGACTCTGTACTGTGTGGCCTTTCTTATAGGGCTGCAGTTTGGGAGGCAGCCAGCTTATGTAAAAGAAAACCTTCTGTATGCAGTATCCACAAGAGGAAGCAGTAGTAGAAAAATGACTTTGGGTGGCATGTGTTTTAGGATGACTCGCTTTAAAAGCTGCTTCCCAGCATTGCCCTGACGGAGGACAATGACTTACTGTTTGTGCATTGAACGTGTGCCACCCTAATGTTGTTTGTGGGATGGCCCCAAGTTTGTGCAGTCACTCTCCAGTGACTCACCCTGTCAGGCCTTTATGTCAGCAAGTACTTCCATAATTAGAAGGTGGGATCAGCAGTGCTGCCACAATGGGGAAGTCTGTCTGTCAGATAGCCCAACAGTTTGGGTTGGTTTGCTTTTTACCCTTTCTGTATGGAAAAGGGTTGAAAAGGGTCCAGATCTTGGGGTGTTGTCCTAGCACTTCAAACTAGCTGCACAAGCATTAAACCAAGCTCGAAAGCTTTCTCTATCTACTGACTAAGAATTTGACAGAATAGAGCCATTTCCTTTTGTGTTTCCTGCCCCTTTCGTTCTCTCCCTCCACAAGTGTGAAAAAAGAGAAGACTATTTCTGTGCGAATCAACGTTAGAAAAGAGCTATCGTTAAGGATCTTTCAGAAGAACCTCAGATCATGATTTCCGCAGTGACGTCCCTGTTACATCATATCTGGTGTTCGTAAAGTCTGGCACAGAATGAAGAGGGAGTTTCCTTTTTCATTTGTATGTGCGAATTGAGTAGATTTTGCCCCCTCCCCTAAAGACACCAAGCAATGTGTGTTTGGGAGGAAGAGGCAGAGAGTTTCAGCACAACCTTGTGCACCAAAGAGCAGCAGGTAGATCCATCTTGTCTCAGTTATGGCCCTGCAACGTGGCTGTACAGTTGTAACTGTGCAGGATTTGTCCCAGTATTCACATGCCCTGTATGCTGAGCAGAGGGGAAGAACTGCTCATGGACTCGGACCCAGGGGTGCCAAAGTAATCAAGTCCCAAGTTACTTGGGTCCAACATGTTTGCTGTGTCCTCATAGCACTGAACACTCTGTGTGATGGATGTGAAGCTCTTTAAAGGACTGAGTGCTATTGATGCAAAAAAAGTGTGAATTTGTTGTTTATCCAGGGGAGAGGCGGTGATTTCGGGGTGGAGGTGGATGCAGCCATGTGCAGGTTCTGTGCAAATTTTCCAGTCTCTGTGTGCGGTGACATATGTAGGTCTTGACCTACGGATCCCCCTGCTTCTGTCCTGAGATCTCTGCACCGCACAGCTCTCTGCTGCGCTCTCCTGACCCAGCTACCTCGGTCTGAGGCTGCCCGAGCAGGATCTTCCATGGTGGGTGGTGATTTTTTTTGGTGCGAGTCACTGTCCAGTGGGCAGCACGGCCAGACCATCAGGATGTTTTAAAATCAGGAAGCTAAAATATTAATCTAGTCCTCCACAAATCAAGCTTCAGCACGAATGTTGCATCTGGAAGGGGAAATCCACCCTGAATTTCCAGCCAAAGGAAAGCAAGTTCTTTTTCCTTGAGACTGCATCTTTCTGTGGATTGCATTCTTGTGTTCCCTTTCTCTCTTCACACCCTACTCGTGCTTCCAGACCTTTGTTCTGCTCAGCCTCTCCCCCACCAGGGATTTCGCCAATAAATCGTCCTGCTGGTTACCCTGCAGGATGCAGTGAAGTCTTCATCTCCCCTATTTTTTTTAAATTGTTTTTATGGAAAATGTTGCTGCATGTTATCCTAAACTGGTGATAAATCAGTGTAAAAGAGCCTCCATGTACAAATGTCAGTGACAAGCTATCCTGAATGGAGCAGTTCCTGCTCCATGTTGAGGTTGCTGAAAGATTTTTTTTCCTTAACTGAAAAACTCCCCAGCTACCTAAATCAGCAGGA